CATCAGGTTTTTGGTCACCTCCCAGACTAAGGCCCTTATCCCCCGATTGGGGATACTCACTGGATACTGGTTAGGGGGAATTCTCCTGTATGGCTGGTTCACGGGTATGTCATCAGTCAGAGGTATCTTATGTCGAACCTTGTCGGTGTAACCCAAATCCTCATCCTCCAAAGCAAACACGCTTGAATACTTATTCAGCACTGCTTTCAACTGGAACTGCTGTTCAGGCGTGCATCTGACCTGGTATAAAAGCAACTTGGCCAGAGACTCACAACCGTGATTTGCACCTATGGTGACCTGCTTTGTGTTTTCAGAAATCCCCTGAAACCTCACCTCCTAGGATGCATCCGCACCGGAGCTGTCTACCGCAGACAATACTCCCAGGCAGGCCCTAGGCTGAAGCCAAAGGTCTTCCTGCGACAGGCTAAGCACCCTTACTGGGCATACAGGTAACTCAGACATGACTAATGTAGGCACTACAACCAAACCTTCTGGTAAAGGTGTATTCGCTGCTTCTAATAACCATATAGAACCATTCTTCTTTCCTACTTCCACACTCTTAACCATAACTGTAGCTGAAGACCAAGCCGGCACATGCTCCGCAGTCTTACCTGAGACTCGAAGGAAACCCATTTGTCTAACTCAACTGACTGTGCCTGCTGGAAAGCTGTCCTACATTTTGAATCAAGTCGACCCTTTAAAGTGGTATCAAATTCAGCGTATACCATCAGTCGGCATTTACTAATAATGTTCATGCCGATGAGCACTGATGCAGGTGACAGATTTGGAGTTTCTTTAACAATTAAGAATCCACAATCAGGTAAAGCCATCCACAGAACCTCCACATCCAATTCCAGGTAACCTAAGTAGGGAATATCTAAACTGTTGGCCGCAGTGATCTTTAACCAACCAGATGTAGACAACACATCACTTTCATCCCCAAATAAATGCTCTCGGAAGAAACCCCCAGTAATAGTACTGATCTGACTACCAGTGTCTAGTAAGCATGACGCAGGCACACTTTTGCTCTTCAGATACACCATCGGGCATGTTCCAACAGCCTGTTCAAGGAACCTGTCTCGACTAGTTCCTTCTGGTGGTAAGCCAGAAACTTAATAAACTCCTCTACGGACCTCCTATCTTTGCTGTGCTTCCCGCTAAAAGGTTGAACCTGACGTTCTCGAGGAACATAAATATAAGAGCAGGTCGGATTGCCCTAATTGCCAGGGTATCATTCCTCCAATCCCGTAACTCCTGAATTTGACCCCTCATTTGCTCTAGTACATCATTACCCACAGCCCTCTCAACGGGAGCCTACACACCCACAACAGGCATTTTCTGATTCTGACATTTTACAAGAGTAGGTCGGATAGGAATTTCTCAAAATTAAATATATTTTACTACAGATTTAGAGTCCTTGGTGGAAAACTCATTAAATCCTCTCAGTCCTTTCAGTACCTCAGGCACAACCTCACGCTGGCACACTGCCCGGGGATGCAGCTGTGAAATCCTGGGAGCTAAACCTTTGGCTGTAGGAACTATTCCATACAGAACCAGGCTGTGCAGTAACTGTCGCTCCGGTACACTGGAAACCCTCCGACAGTCCCACGCTGATCACAGTCTCCAAAACTAGGGCTGCAACCAACAATTATTTTCATAATCGATTGGTTGGCCGATTGTTTTTTTCGATTAATCGGATGGGGGTGGGGCAAACTTTCCGTACCATTTTAAAAAATTTTACAAATATAATCCACAAACTGAGTGTTACAAATATTAACTTCAGACTAAAACTTTACACAACTGTTTGCCCCAAACAGAACAGAACCCAATACACACACACACACACACACACACACACGCACACACGCATGCGCGCACACACCAGAATATTTATTATATATATATATATAGTATTTATGCATTAATTTATATGGATGCACAAAAAGCACAGAATTAAACTACAGTCCCAAATTAATAATAAAAACTCACTTTCACTGGTTTCTTTAGACATATTATTTTACTTGTGTTTACTTTTGATCAAAGTGTTTTAATTAGACATTACAGATCTTACACGCACTCCCACTGTGTATCAGTGCATCTGCACCGTGGCCTCTTTACTAATAAATCACTTCCGTTATAATAAACAACAGAATTTACACTGCACGCGCACAAATACAGCATATAATGACAATAAACTTAAATTAAACTAAACCTTTTAAGCAGCTTGCACCAGTTTCCCCAAGCCCTTACACACAGTGGACCATTTTGAATATAAATATAATTTTGTGCTCGTGCAGCACTGTTCGATCTCCGCGGTGTTTAATATAAAATGCTCCTCTGCCTTAGAGGACTTTCGTCCTCAGTTGGGAATAAAAGTTAACGCTGACAAACAGTAAACTGAAGAAAGTCATTGTCGTTGACTGGGTGTCTGCTGATGCTAGCGTGTGTATGACATCATGCGCCATCGACTAGGAAGCGGCTTAAACTTCCGGTTAGTAAAGAATACCGCTAGTGATCTATTTGAGATGATATTACCTTTCTAAAATCCACACACTAGACAGTAGTGCAGAGTACATCGTGTAAGTGTATAGTACTTCATTCGGAACAAAACTAACGTAATGAGTAAATGCCGCACGCAGGCCAACTGATCGATAATGAGATTCGGTGACAAAGATGTTCATAATCGATTATTATCGATTCGTTGTTGCAGCTCTATCCACGACCTCTGCGACCTCTGCTCCTGCAAATCTTCACCACTGCAGTTTTGTCTAGCTTAGCTATGTTATTTGTCGCAGATTGGTCAAATTGAATAAACAACCCCACTCCTGGTACCAAAAACGTGTGAACGTGGATTCTGATTTACCACCAGGAATTTAAAGGGTTCTTAGATTTAAATGTATTCAGTAATTGGTCTGATAAGTTATTTGACTATAGTGTTGCTAACAAGTTTAGCTGGCAAAAAAAAACAAAACAAAAAAACCATTAATACTGGAACAAAAATTAACAGATCTGATAATAAAACCTTTACTTTCTCCCTCAGTATGTGAAAGTCACAGTATCGTACTGTTGCACTGTAGGACAGGGCATATTATCACCAGATGTGGCAATCCCACTTTAAACTATGCAAACACCGAAACATTTCTACGAGTTACATCTGACAGTGCGACTCATTTTTTTATTTTTTTTATTTTTATTTATTTATTTATTTACGAAAAATAAAAGAAAACAAATGAATACATTCTTCATCCCATTAACATCCTTTGAAAGAGATAAAAATGAAAGAACACACAAAATGATTGTCCCGTATCTGGAAACCCTGGACTCCATTTCCCATCAGCCACTGCACTGCACCACATGACCACATGCACCTGATTCACGGTTTGGTTAATGAGCACTCGTGTGTATATCTAGTCTTTGTCTGCACTGGTTTCTGGTCTTTCGTTGTTGTAGACTCATGTCGTTTATGTCTCAGTGTTTTGCCAAGTGTCTTAGTGTCTTGTTTCATAGTCTGTTTGTTTATATTAAATGTTTAAGTCTGCACCTGCTTCTGCCTCAACCCGTGATCCGGGACAATGATGAGCTCCTGCACCACGGGACGCCTTCAATCCCCAGTTGAAACTCAGAACAGTTTTAGATGTACACTGTATAAAACCACAGAGAAAGACAAATAACTCATAAGACACTCAGAAAACCATTTAAACTGAAGTGTAAAACATCGTGAACTAGCAAAGGGGGAAAGAAATAGATAGATAGATAGCTAGCTAGCTAGCTAGCCAGCCTGCCTTGCACCAGATGGCGTTGCATCATACCATCGCAGACATTATACGCGATATAACTCTCTTAATATACTTTTGTTGCCATAAACCAAGAAAACATACATCCAGAAGGGGTATTTATCCAAAATATTGCCATGAGCAATTACATTTACCACAGGATGACGTGTAATTTACCAAGGAAACCCAAGAGCGAGCTTCTCTCTCTGTGTGTGCGTGTGTGTGAGCGTGTGCGCGCGCGTGTGTGCGCGCGCGCGCGCCCGGCCTCTTCTCTTGTACCCAGCTTTTCTTGCTTTTATACGTATCTGGAAATGTTCGTCTGAACATGAAATACATTTCATACAACGCAAGGAGAGAAACAAAATAAGCAGACCATTTACCGATTGGCTTTCCATACTATAAAAGAAGCCATGCTTGTGCTGTAGCTTTGTGGAGAGGTTTCTCTGCCGGATTCAGATAAGAGAACGATCGGCACGTGATAGAATAAAGTTAATACGTGGAACCTGAACAGTAATAGTAGCATTAATGGTCTGGACTTTTAAGTTCACTTGGAAATCCTCTAGAAGTTATTGATCTATAATTACATCATCATTTACACGCCGACTCCGTGTTCTTCATGATCACGTGATCTGTGGGATTTGGAAATCCGTCTCCGGAGTTTTGAGTGCGTTTCATGTACACGCTCTCGTCCCTACACGCACCTCAAACAAGATTTTTCACTTTTATTCGGTTTATTCTAATTCTGTAACCTTGACAACACTGTGACGTCATGGCTCAGCAATAAAACGTTTTGCTCAGCTGAAGTGGTCTTCGGTTTCTACAAACAGATCACTGAGAGGTATGGCTCTACTAATATCTTCACTTTAACTCAGCTTCGTGTACTCCTGCCTTTCTGTAATAATAATGCAAAAAAAAAACTCTCTTTTGATAAATTAGTGAAGTCTTAATTTATTTCTATACTGTATATACCTCAGATTTAAGACAGTGAGTGTCAACCGAAGTACTGTACATCATCTTGATTAAATCTAAAGAGTGACATGAAAGACAAATAAAATGAGATCATTTGTTTTTTATTAATGTTAATGTAGGAAATTTAAATCATGTAAAAACATTAAAAGACCAAGCCACAGATAAAAGACAGGACAAATGCAGAAGACCTGATACTACAGATCTCCAGTTTTTTTTCCATTTCTTTTGGTTGGTACTAAGTGTACTAAGCCATGCCCATGCACGGTGGCTTAGTGGTTAGCATGTTAGCCTCACACCTCCAGGGACTGGGGTTCGATTCCCGTGTGTGCAGAGTTCTCCCCGTGCTGCGGGGTTTCCTCCAGGTACCCTCTGGTTGGTTGGCGTGTCCAAAGTGTCCGTAGTGTATGAATGGGTGTGTGAGTGCCCTGGCACGCTGTCTAGGGTGTACCCCGCCTTGTACCCTGGGATAGACTCCAGGTTTCCCAGTGACCCTGAAAAGGATAAAGCAGTATAGAAGATGTAATATTCCATGAGTTAGTGTGTGTCAGTAATAAATTTGAAGTAATCTTTAAAGTAAAGATATTTGTGGGAAAACAAGAACCTCTGAAACAACGATTAGATAATGATTACTAATTTACTTGTATGATTAATCGAAATTCAAACTCAAAATTCATGTCTTTAAATGAGTGTGATGTGATTCTACTCACAGATTGGTTTCTGCACGACAGAACGATTTTCAAAAATGAGGAGGAACCACAAAGAGAAAGAGACACCTCAGCATCAAGCTGTGAGGAAGTTTTTTTTTTTTAACCATCTTTTAGTATTTGAAATGCATGACTGCATAGCAATCAGTGTTGAAATATCATTTGTTTGTGTTATGAACATGTTATATTCTCTTGTATATTCTCAACAGGCTTTTTACAGAGTTTTTTTGACAAGACTAATATTTGTTAAATTTTTCATTTTAGGCACATGGAAAAAATAGCATGCATGCTATGGCAAAGCAGAACATCCGCTTAGTTGCCATTAACACAACTAGAAATACATTATTCTACCCCGTAAAGATAATAGAATTTGAACGAGCAGGTGCTGGTAAGATATGAAATATCATCAGAGCGAAAAATGACTTATTTTAATGTTAACAACCAATCTTAATGTACAAAGAGTACACACAAGGCTAATTGCATGTGTTGTGTGTAATTGAAAGGACCTCCAGCAAAGAGCTCTAGGAAACCAAAACTTCTTCAAAGAACACCCAGAACAGATCCGATTGGTCTTCCCCCGTTCAGAGCACTGATGCGCAAGGAAACGGTAAGCGAAACATCTGGCAATCCCCAGGTACTTACTCTGGGTTCCTTTAAGTAAATGTGTATGTATGTGAACAAAATTAAATGAAATTATCAGTAGGACTTGTTTCCAGACTAAAGCTTTCAAATATTTCAAATAAAGTGTTAAAAATACGTACACAGAAAATGTATATACAGGATATATTTTAGAATATGTTAATTCATCATTATTGTACACGAAAACGTCTGGGTAACGCATGTAACCCTGTTCCCGGAAAAGGGGACGAGACCTGCAGATGGACCTCAGCTGCCTGACACCACACATGAACCTTGAAGTTAGAGCATGTTGCCCCACAGAGGCTCCACCAACAGGGGCATGGCTGGCCACGTAAACCCTCATTGTAGAAAGAGCCAACCCTGCTGAGATATGTCCTTGTAAGAACTCCAGGACTGTAGCTATTGCGCAGTTCACTGGGTCTAGCTGACGTTCCTCATATAAGGTGCTACTAGCAGCAGACTTGGACAGTCTTGGCGAACTCTCGCTAGAACTTGTGGGAGCAGAGCGATCGGGGGAAAGCATATAGATGTGACCTCGGCCACGTTTGCACCAATGGTCTCCAAAAGCAAACCTCAGGAACTTCCTGTGACTGGGCGATATTCCTATGTGGAAATATGCATTCGTCATGCTATCGTCACAAACCAGTAATCAAACTAAATCTGTGGCACGATAAATTTGAACATCAGCACCTTGAATCTGTATGTCCGAAGAGTACGGTTCAGATGATCTAGATCTAAAATTGGCCGCATACTCCCACCTTTTTTGTGGACCAGGAAATAACGGCTGTAAAAACCTCCCTCCCTTAGGGAACAGGGTACATGTTCTATGGCTCCTTTAGGGGCTATCTGCCCTAACAACCTCATGTCCCCTGATACATCCCTCCATGGCCCATCAGGACCGTTCCTTTCTTGCCAGCTTTGATTATATGATCATTCTTAGATCAGGCTTGTTAGCAGGCTGTGGCCGCTCTGCGGGGTGAGGCGGGCCACCACACTTGCTTTCTGTACCTCCCTTGCACTAGCGCTGGCGAATTCGACATGACGGGGAAGCAACTGGCTGAACAGCGTTTGCTGTTTTGCCTCAAAAAACCTTGCCAAAAACCTGTCGGCGATGGCATTAACCACGTCGCCAAACAGGCTTGAAGGTTTAACAGGGGCATCCAGTAAGGAAACCTTATCTTTGTCCCCCATCCCTGACAGGTTGAGCCATAGGTGCCTCTCCGCCACAACTACGCTACCCATTGAACGGCCGATATGACGGACCGTTTGGTCGCCAGAGATAAATCTGTGGTGCAGCGCAGCTCTGCCACTGCCTTGGGCCCAATTCCCTCCCCAGTATCAAGCTCACTCAGCAGGTCTGCTTGGTAGGCCTGCAACACTGCCATTGTATGCAGTGACCCACAAACAAGACCGCTTGCCACATAGATTGCCGCATAGGCTTTGCCCACCAGTTCCAAGGTGGCCTTAAATGGCTTAGAAGGTAAACTTGGCCTCCCAAAATTACCTGCCATTTATGGAGATAGGTGGCTCGCAAGCGCCTCCTCTATCTTCGGCATTGCTAAATAGCCGTGCTGCTCACTCCCCATGATGTGATCAGACGTCGCGGGGTTATAAACACGGCTAGTGTATGGTTTTCTCCAGAAGAATGATATCTCATCATGCACTTCTGGGAAAAAAGGGGCGTTTTCTGTGGTGTGAGGGAGATTTATATTTATTTTCACTGGAGAGGAAGCGCTCATCCAACCTGCGACGAGCCACTTCCTCTTCCCCAGGTCAGCCTATATTCAACTTTTCAACTTCCCTAGTAATCACCTCAAGCAGCTCTTTATATGCTTGAGAGCTGCTGTCGGTTTTTGGTGCAATGGCAGCCTCTACTGACTCCTCAGAGTCGGCGAGGGTGTTTTGGCTTTCCATAAGGGAAAGGAGGAGTTCCAGAATCAGTAGCAGAGCCGGACCCAGAAGACAGAGCAGCGCTCGTCTCCGGCTCCTCTTCCAAATCTATACGAGAACCCCATGACCTTTGCCCTCTATACGAGAACCCCATGATGCTGCCTCGGCAGCAGCTGGCCCAGATCCGCGAGGCTCAACTCCCTTCAGACGAGAAGAGAGCGAGTCGAGAGCGGAGCTGCCTAATTGTGAAATGTTTACAATGCTGACAGACAGACCCCTCGAGGGCTGCCGTCGCATGCTCAACGCCCAAACACTTCACATAGAAAGCGTGTCCGTCTCCTGTGATGAAACGGGAGCAAGGCGTAACACGCTTTCAGTATTCAGACGTCAGATATAACTTTAGACTTAAACTTTTTCTTTATAGGAGAGAGCCAAAAATATTGGAATTTTAGTCATTTTACAAATGGTAATAGATTTGTATATTCTCTACAGGCTTTTTGACAAGGCTAAAATTTGTTCAATTTTTCATTTCAGGTACATTGGGAAAAAGGCACGTGCACTATAGCAAAGCAGAACATCTGCTCACCTGTCATTAACACAACCAGAAAGAAATCAGTCTATCCCATAAAGACCATAGACATATTTGAACAAACAGGTGCTGGTAAGATATTAAATATTAAATTCATCATGTTGAAAGAGTACACACTTAATGTTGAAAGAGTGCACACAAATCTAATTGCATGTATGTGTAATTGAAAGAACCTGCAGCAAAGAGCCCTGGGAAACCAAAACGTCTTTCCAGAACGGATCCAACTGGTCTTCCCCCATTCAGAGCACAGGGGAGCACAGTGCGTAGGGAAAAGTTAAGCAAAACATCCAGCAATCCTCAGGCACTTACAGGCACTACAGAGGTAAAGAGTAAGTCTCTTGAGGCTACAATTGAGGTAGAACCACAATTAAGAACCAACATTACTGATGCTGTCCTGGATTGCATAACCTCTACATCGTTCAAGAATCAGCTCGCTCTGCGCATTGTGGGTGAGATTGATGATATACTAGCAAAAGCCGTGTCCCAGGTTCAGGAGAAACAGCATGCAGTGAAATTCGGTACAGCAGGAGATAAGACAAGCATCTCCCGGGAACAACAATCGAGCAACAACGTTTTCAGGCCTGGTTTCAGTGATGGTGTGGCATCTGTGATTGGTTATGCACTGATAGAAGTTAGAGAAGATGTGAAAAAAACTTTTAGAAGCCAGTCACACAAATTTCAGACAGTTTCACCAACCGCATTTGATTCTGTAACAGGAATGGTGGACAAGGTCTTTGAAAGCATGCTTGATTCCTTGATTCCTCAACTGAAAAAAACAGACGTTTGCACTGAAAGGAATCCTAGCACGATTGATTCTCTTTATTGTCATGAGTTTGATACAGTGTTTGATAAGATCCTTCCCAGCAATGACTCAGATTTCAACCAGTGTCCAGTCTATGAACCCAGAGGAAGTTCTGATGAGTCTAGCGTCACAGCTCAGGACAGTGAGACATTAGGTAAACAAATCTTCTTATGTTACATAGCCATATATTCATAGTGAGAAGATTTTTTAAATTAATGGCATTATTACTTATAGAAAGCATTGCACTACCATTGTGATGAATGCAAATCACATTAGTCACAGCTAAAAAAAAAAAATTGCCCAAATTGCAGACATTGTGAAAGAGAGAACTGACTCCCCGAGAAGATCTACCAAAGTCCCGTTCTCTACAGTATCTGACCAGTCTTCTGGACCTGAAATTAAGGCCAAAGATGAGGTTGAGGACATCTTGGCTGATTCTGGAAGCATGAGCCACCTTGATGTCCCTCTGACTTCAAGATTCAAATCAGACTCCGAGACGGATACAAGTGTTCTTGAGCTCACTGCTACTTCTCCAACAGAAATTGTTGACCACATGTCAAGATCTGATAAAGTAGCAGAAGAAGGACTTGTGGCTAAATCAGATGTTGAGCTTGGGCAAATCATGGCTGCTCCTTCTGAGGAAAACACTCCTTCTGACGTTACTTCAAAAAGTCTTGAGCTGATTGGACACCAGGAAGGTGCTAGCC